TTTGTCGTCTGCAAGATCTGGACTAGAGGACTCCTGTATCGCCTTTAGTTTATCCACCATTTTATCAATCTCCTCATCGCTGTCTTCGTCCAAGTTCCCCTCGAACTTCACTCCTGCAGGAAGACTGAACGATGTGCGGCTGTCACGGTGCAACGCGAACTCATCACTAACCGACACTTCCAAGTATGTTTTGGTGGAGCTTCGCTTTTTTAAACTTTCTCTCGTCCTGTGACCACGGTAGTAGCTCTGGATCGTGACGGCAGCTTCAGATCTGGTGCGCCGAATCTTTCGTGCTCTATATCCTTTGTAATGAGCTTGAATGGTTGTTGCAGCGGTATTTTTGTTCTTCAGCTGCTGTCGAGTGTAGTAGCCGCGATAGTTTGATTGGATCGTGGTAGCAGCGTCATCTCTCGCCATTTTTGCATCTTTGACGGCATTAACACTCTTCTCCATTTGGTTTCTTTCGTTTTCCTCACTGCGTTCTTCAGCCATAATTTTGCCTTCGTTTTCACCAGTGTTCATGTTCCGTTCACTTCGGATTGCTTCTCTGGCTCGGTGCCCTCGAAAAGCTGACTGTATTTTCAGAGCCGCAGCTTCTTCTTCTCCACGCCATGGAACAGGGCTATCTTTGCGATTTGGTCTCGAAATGCCGCCTCCTTCCAAATCTTTCCTAACAGTGTAGCCACGATATCCAGCTTGGATCTTTGTCGCTGCCTGGTTTTGCGCCTTTAATGTCTGGCGAGCATTGTAACCACGGTAACCAGCTTGTATGCGAGAGGCAGCCTCGTGTTCTTTCCCGCCAGACACTTTCCCGCCATAATTTTCTGCAGCGGCTGCTGATGTTTCTCCTCCTTGGCGATGTCCCTCATTCCCAGTCTCCGTCAAGGCTTTTGCTTCTTGTCTCACCTTATGCCCCCGGAATGTTGACTGTATTTTCGTGGCTGCTTTATCAAGTTCTCTTTTACTGGCCCCAGAAGGTTCATACCTGTAATAGCCGTCTATCTGTGATCCCAATAGACAGTCATCGTACCCTTTCTCTGTGTGACAAACGGGAAAAAAAAAAACATACACCACAATTATGCACACGTTCGTAATGTATGTCCGGAAGAATCATGTTGCTATGGTAAAATTGCATTGATAGTAATCGCACAATTTACTGTTTACATTTTACGGGTCAACAGAGGTCCGCAAAGGGTGCAGAGAAGACCGTTGTGAATTATTGCGCATCTTGGAGGTCAAAGAAACGGGTAGAGAAGAACTCTAAGGAATAACTGCTGTGCTCTAGTACTACAAAGTACACCGTAAAGAAATCAAGATTTTCTTGAATGCGTTGTCAAAACTTTGCGTAGCTTGATAATCATTTTTTTTATGAAATTACCAGGTCATGACACTAAAATTGCAAAACCACATAAATCGAAGAATACTAAATGTATGAGCCAAAATGAGTTTGAACAATACAACAAAATTTATCTTTTTTATCCATTGTTTAGGGCAGCTTTCACTAAATCTGGTGATTGGAGGACTGCGCAAATGGAAGGAAAGTAAAAATAATAATAATAATAATAAATATATAAACAAAGAAAAACCAAATCAAGGAAAAAGACAAAAAATAACAAGAAGAGAAACACAAATGCGATAATGGAAACTATCAAGGAAATTGTAAAGCAATTGTTTCGGCTTCCTTGAGCAATTTTCATTTCCTGTCCCGGCTAATATGCCTTCAGCTTTTCAGGCATTGTAACTTTAAAAAATATTTCCTTTATTTGCTAAATTGCCTTTTGGCGCTGCACAACAAAAGGCCTTTCAATGAGACATATGCATCTGCTTCAAGCGGTATGGCATAAAGAAGGAATTGGCTTTATGCTATAATGATTATTTCTTCGATTACTTTCTTCGTTTCAAACTTGTTTTTCTGATAGAGAGGGTCAGTGTCAGAGGCTAGGGGAAATATCGTATGTTATTTTCTCTTTATGAGTCAGTTCGTGAACAGCAATTAAAATATTTAAAGAAAAAAAAAACCGAGTATGAATAAACATTTTATCGTCGCTAATTAGAATTGATCACCGATTTGAATTCGAGTCTAGGTTTGATTTCACACTTCCCAAAGTTTAGGATTTTTTTCAGTCAACGGATTAAGTTTAACAAAACTTTTAATTTTTTTCCTAAGATTCTTGAGAAAATCATATTGTGTCTAGAGATAATGCAGGTGTTATTAAGTACATAGTAGCTGGGTTTTTTTCATTAGCATTCTGCTCTCTCGCATTGAAAAGGCGCCTCCAGATAATATCTTATCACGATTAATAAAAGTTTTCGGAGCAAGGCGGGCCAGCTAAGAATATAAAAAAATAAGATAATGATGGCAGTAAAATAATGAGAATATTTTAATAATTTTACGCATAAGGTCTAAGCTAGGCAATTTATTCATCGAGGGGAAAAAAATAGAAAACTATAATTTTTTTCCAGATAATTCACTTGGCTTGAATTACAGGAAAATTAATTGTTTTAGCAAAGCGGTAGATCTGTAGGTTGTAATTTCCAATGCGTTTTTTCAGCAGTTTTTAGCATCGATCATCAAAAATAACAATTTGATTTTAAATTCTCTGAGAGAAATTATGTTTTGCGTGACTATCAAGAAAAAGAGCGAAGTTAATTGCACAGAATTTAGATAATATAGAAAATAGTATGGTTTTTCTATAGTTACATGTATTCATTCCAAGAAGAAAAAGCTGCATTTGTGGAGGATTACACCGAATATACCATTTCTAAACTTCATTCGTTGTAGTAAAATGTATAGCCCCCTCCATCTTTGGTAGCTCCTGATTTGTACACAATTTCGGCCTGAGGTCTATCGTTGACTCAGCGGGGTGTTTTGAAAATGCTCTTGTAAACGTTTCATAGCTTTCTGAAAATAATTAACACTACCAAACACTGCTTGAATTGCGCACAAGGTGGTAAAGATTTCGCTTCATCATTTCACGATGATTTGAAGCACGCTGTCGATACAGTGTTGACTCGCGCGTTTAAAGGGCATTTGAGAATGTTTGAGTAACAGTGCCGGTGTTGAACAGATCGCACTTGCCAAGCAGTTTTCACATCTGATTCCATTTTAACTAGCAAAGTAGCAACTTGAACGTAAGTATCAGTATCGATATGGCAAATATGGGAAACAACATGCATCTTAGGAGAAATTTAGAGATAGTATTTTAAGCAAAAGTACCTTGGCGTTCTTTCAACTTTTTATGGTAATAATCCGCAGCAAATTTATAAATGTTCTCCGGACGGCAACGCAAAATTTCCACAGTCAGGCCCTCGAGAAGGTTTCTGAAGCCACTTGGGACTGCCATTCGCTTGCGAAAGTCCTCAGAGTCTGCGTTTTCTTGTGTTTCCATGTCCATTTTGAGAAGAACGAATTGAGATGTTGACTGTCTTCTTCGTTGGTGATCCAAGCTTTGATAAACAACGATGCGACCCCGTAATTAATGAACACATCCGCCGTCGCTTTGGTGACAAAGGCATTTATATTCTGTTTCAGCGTTTACAATTATGTTGCTATTGAAAGAAGCTCAGTGTGAAATCCTCGGGTGACGAGTGGTTAGAGTAAATGTCACTTTTAATTGTGATGTGCTTTTTGTCTTTGGCTAAAGCTCTCGCTAAATTATCCAACATCCATCCTTAAGACGGCAGCCTTTCGAGCTTCTCATTTAAATTATAATTTATTTGATGGGCCTGTCTTTGTAAACGACTTTTCCAAAACAATAACATTCACTTAGTGCTTTGATGTATCGATTTCCTTGGTTGATCTGTCACGCCAACTTCTCTCTTGATGCGTGACGGTTCTCGTACCCAGACCTTCTTTTCTCTCCTCAAAAAAAAAAGATGCCCTGACTATAGCTGACAATCCGTCCCGTCCTTTTTGCTCCAACCGGAGACTTCTTTTGCAAAATCGAATTTGTAGTTGAGAAGGCTGAAAAAATGGAAAAAGAAAAAAAAAAAATAAAATCAAGCCTCGAGAGATTTCAAACCTGTGCCTTGGGAGTGGGGTGATTATGTTACGTTCTCTGCCTCCCTCCCTGTCTACTTCGAAACTCACAGATACCGTAAAAAATGCAAGTAACCAGTTAAATCTAATTTACAATACAAAAACAATTTCTGTTGCTGTAAACAGCACTTTTGTTTGACCAGTCAGAGAGCAAATGACGTAAACTGGATTTAAAAACATCAACAGACGATCAAGAGCTACTTCAGCTCAAGGCTTTCCCTACCTGAATGCTAACGGCAGCGTATACTAAGCTGACCACAAAGAGAAGCATCCATCTTTCGTGGTACTGACGAAACGAAAAAAAAAAGAGAGAAGTCTAGTATCACTGGTACGTTAAAAAGATTGCTCGCTTTCTTTTTTAGTTAAAGTAGTTTTTGCACAGGGAGAATGACATTCCCCTCATAATATAATATATAATATAAATAATATATTTCTATTTATATCCTCTGTCGCCTTACAGCTCTCATCAATTACTGGTTTTCTTCTTTTTTCAGGCTCCAATCGGTGAAATATAGGCATCAACTTTGCCAGACTAAAATAAAGAAAAAAAATTAGCACCATTGTTTTTGTATAAATTACAAAAAGCTTGGCAGTTAAACAGAAAAACAGCAGGTACCTGCGAAATGACTGAGGACAAGAAAGAAACACAGTCTTCAAGTCCTGGTAACGCAAAACGTTTTCCTCCAATGCGTTACATGGTAGCCTCGATGACCTTTCTGGGTTTTGCGAACATCTATGCTATGCGAGTAAATCTTAGCGTGGCTATTGCTGTCATGGTCGCAAATCAGACGGTTATACACCATGGTATGGAAGTTCAGGTACTGAACATTTTTTGAAAACTCAACATATCAAAGCGAGAGGTTACTGAAACTTCAGGTTATTTAATTCTTTATTCTGAAGAGAACACGTTTCATTTGTTAATCACAAAGATGTTTCCCTCGTTTCTCTAACAAC